TCTTGGAGGCAAGGATTTTGAAGCTCAGTCTCACATACTCTGGGTACATGACCAGGAGGGATCAGTCTTTGGAGAAGGACATCATGCTTAAAGGGTGGAGGGACAGCTCAGGAGAGGAAGACCCCAGAGGAGATGGATTGACACAATAACTGGGGCAATGGGATTAGGTGTGTTGGAATCAGTGAGACTGGCTTAGGACAGGGCAGGGTTCAGAGCTGTTGTACATAGGGTGACTATGAGTCGCAGGTGGCTTGATGGCACATAACAACCACAAATCAGTCTTTAAAGAAGTACATGTGCAAACAAAATCAAAGTTCCAAGAGAAACTTCACAAAACTCAACAACCAGATGGCCAGTGAGCCCTGGTCACAGTAAGCCAGTCACCTAGCTGCCATCACGTAAGACAAACCTGGCTTTGTCCAGGGTGTACTAGAGCGCAGACTACAGCTTAAGGTGCCGGAGACTATTCATTTATGTCAGGACACAGGTTCTGACATTTACATGACATTTTGTGTCCTGGGTAAGAATATTCTATTTTCTCTTTTTAAAAAGTTTCTTTTGTGTGTGTGTGTGTGTGTGTGTGTGTGTGTGTGTGTGTACCGTCAAATCGGATGTGACTGGTACAGGCTGAGATCCAGCATACCTTCTAGTGGATTTGAACCAAGCACCTCTGAGATTGCATTGCACTTTCTTGCCGCTAGGCCACCAGAGCTCACCAGAACATTCTATTTTCTTAAAGTCATACTTCTCCTTTTCTTTTACACCCTCCAAGTTAAGACTGCCTTCAGGATGGACGGCAGTGGCTCAGAGATAAAGCCAGCTGCCACAGGATTGAGTGTGACTCATCGCACACCCCATGCGTTACAGTAGAACTGTACCCCATGTGGTTTTCAGGCTGTGCTTTCTGAAGTCGGTTGACAGGCCTGTCTTAGGAGAACCCTCTGGGTGTGATTGAACTGGTAGCCCTGTAGTTAGCTGTTAAAGTGTTACCACTTGTGCAGCTGCGAACTCGCCAGTCTGGACAGAACAATTCTTTCCTTCGGCAAGTTCCTGCATGATGGCAGGGACTGTGCCAGGCTCTGAGGTCTGGGTGCTGGACCAGACCGAGCTGCCACCTTGGTAAGGCTGACAGTATAGCTAGGAGAGATGGAGAAATCAGCTTGTGAGGGGTGTCCAGAGGGAAGGACTGGGGCTGGTGGGTACAAGGTTCTAGGTCTTTCCAGCCAGGATGGGGAAAGTAGGACTTTGAAAGTTTACGCTAAGGATACCGGAGGATCGCGATGCAGCTATGTAAGTGGAGTAGGTGTCAGGGTTTCTGAGGGAGGGACAGAGGGAGAAGAAACGTGAAAGAATGCTGTCCCTGTAGTCAGGAGGGAGTATTAAAGGCTGCATGTTCAAAATAGCAATAACCAAACTCACAAGGCTCCATATCTGTTGCAATAAAGTGGATTTGACTTGTGGCACCCTTACGTCACCGAGTGGATGGCCAGGTCTTTCCTCTGTGTTACTGAGTAGTCTCAGACTACTGACCGTTAGCAAACCACACAGGACACTGTTACTTATTTTTATTTTGGGATGTTACTTTTTGGGAGGAGGGAGCGGTTTTCCTAACAAAAAGTGAGTTCAATGCAAGAACATGGAAACAGTCCAAATATCCAGTCACAACTGAACGGATTGAGAAACTGTGGTACATTCATACAATAAAGTACTATGCAGCACTCAGCAGCAACATTTTTGTAAAATACTACCTAACTTGGGAGAAGCTAGACAGCATGAACTAACTCAGTCTCATAAGGACAAATACTGCATAAACTATTACTATAAAATAGAAGGATAACTAGTAAAATATGTATGGGGATCCTTTAAGGGGTAAAGGGTGAGAGAAGAGGGGTGAGGATGGGAGGGACAAAATCACAAGGTTGCACAATTTGATGGGTGAAGGGAGGGGGTAAAGAAAATGGGAAAGATCCATTGGGGACCTAAAAGGACAGGGTAATGGTGGACATAGTTCAATGGTGATTAATTTTATAAAACATAACAGGAGTGACATACACTTCCAAAATAGCTTGCCTTTGGAAACGTTATGAACCTGGGGAAAAAATGGAAGTTATACAAGTGTTTAGGTCTTTTGTTCATAGGGTCGCTATGAGTTGCCTACAACGCGATGGCACTTAACAACAACAATGCTTTGGAATGATTGTATGAAACACAATGAGAATGAAGAAAAGTGTGAAACATGATGTGTACAGACTTTGTAAGTGAACTAATTTATTGTTGTTACATGCTGTTGAGTGGCCTGTGACCTATAGCAACCCTATATATAGCACCTCTGGACCCTTCCCTGTCCTGAGCCAGTCTCACTAACTCTGACACATCAACTCTCATTGCCCCAGTTACTGTATCAATCCATCTTATCTGGGGTCTTCCTCTCCTGTGCTGTCCCAACACCCTTCCAAGCATGATGTCCTTCTCCAAGGATCAGTCTCGCTTGGCCATGTGCCCAAAGTATGTGAGATGGAGCTTCAAAAGAAACCTGGTTTCACACTCTCCAAAACAGACCTATTTGTTTTCTTGGCAGCCCATGGTATGTTCAAGACTTTTCTCCAGCACCAAAATTCAAAGGCATCAATTCTTCTGTCATCCTTAGTCATTCATTGTCCAGCTGATGCATAACAACGTGTGTGTGTGTGTGTGTGTGTGTGTGTGTGTGTGTGTGTCTGCGTGCGTGCATGCACAGCAGCCAGGATCTCAAGAGACAAATTGCATTGGGTAAGTCAGCTGTTAGGGACCTCTCCCGAGTACTGAAGAGCAACGATGTCAGTCTGGAGATTAAGGTGCAGCTGATCCAGGCTATAGTCTTCACAATTGCGTGCGTGCTATGCATCGGAGAGCTGGACAGTGACTAGGGATGATAGAAAGAGAATTGATGCCTTTGAGCTGTGGTGCTGGAGAAGAGTGTTGAATATACCATGGACTGCTAGGAGAACAAACAGGTTTGTCCTGGAGAGGGTGAAGCTGGAATGCTCCTTGGAGGCAAGGATTCTGAAGCTCCATCTGACATACTTTGGGTATGTTGCAAGGAGGGATTGGTCCTTGGAGAGGGGCACATCATGTTCGGGAGAGTGGAGGGACAGCGCAGGAGAGGAGGACTCTGGATGAGATTGGATTGATTCAGTGATTGGGGTAGTGGGAGTAGGTGTGTTGGAGACAGTGAGGTTGGCATAGGATAGAGCAGGGCTCTTGTACATAGAGTCGTTGAGTCACAGCAACTCGTCAGCACATAACGACAACTACACACACACACACACACACACACACACACACACACACACAGCTCAGGCCTAGCAGCAGGAAGCTGCTCTGCAACCATGAAGGCATGCAGTTCAAGGCCACCAGCTGCTCTGCGGGAGAAGGATGGGCCATCTCCTCCCGTGTGATTTACAGCCTCTGAAAACCCACTGGAGGGTCAGCGATGGGTTGGTTCTAACTCTACAGTACACAGCAACAACACAACAAAAAAGGTGAGTGCAAGGCTGCCTTGGTCACAGACGCATGTGGTCCCAGCCAAACAGCTAGACAGTTTTAACTAGTATTTACAGATTATAATCAAATGAATCCCATTACCCTTGAGTTCACTCTTGACTCGAGCGACACCATGGGATCGAGTAGAACTGCCCTATGCCGTTTCCAAAGTTGTTGATCATCGTTGGAACAAGCTGCCTCGTTCGTCCTTCTCCCACAGAGCAGCTGGTGCAGTCCAACCACCAACCCTGAAATTAGCAGCCAAGCTTTTGAAGCCTGTCCCACCGATGGAACGGTCACTTATTCACTATTTAACGGCGCCCTGGTGTCTTAGTGCTCCTGTGGGCTGTTGACCAAAGGGGGAGCCATCCTGATGGACTTGTGGTTCCATGGGAGAAAGATGGGCAGTGTCCAGTCTCGGGACCGTTGGCCACTGTGAGTCAGAATCTACTCAAGAAAAATGGGTTTCTGTAGTTATTTACAGTTTAAGGAGCCCTGGTGGCATGCTAGTGAAGCGCTGGAATGCCTGTCAAAAGGTGGGCAGTTTAAATTCACCAGCCGCTCCATGGTTGAAAGACGAAGCTGCCGGCTTCCGTAAACTTTGTTGTGTTTGATGGATCCGACCCTTAGCTAACCCTGTCTTTCCTTGTTTTGTTCAGACATTCCTCTAGGTGGTAAACCCTGGTGTACAAGTTGCTGTACCGCAGTCACTTATGGTTGCTGTGAGGCTGAACACTGTGACACTGATGTGTCAAATGCATTAATGGCTGGTTACCCAATGCGGACAGAGAGTGGGGTGGAGCTCCCCGATTAAAGCAAGCTTGGAAGGAGGAGTGGCATCCACTTCTATAATAGCTTGCCTCTGGAAACCCTAAGAACCTGGAGAGAGGATGAAAGGCAACTCTCCTTCATAGGGTCGCTATGAGTCACCTGCGACTCAAAGGCACTTAACAACAATAACAACATTATTATTAATACTAATCTTAATGAAAATTTACAGAGATTTTGGATTTCCATTGACTGATTGTTGCACTTTCCTCCCTACCCACCCCTTCCCTTCAGTTCGTTCTTCTCTTTGAAAAGTAAAAGTCTTTCATTGTTATACAATCCCTCCCCCAAGTCCACTCCACTATGCAGCCTTCGTTCTGGACTCCTGTCATGACAATAATACGTAATCGTATATCACTTTTAAACAGTTCTCTCCCTCATCTGTTTCAATGCAGTAAACATAATTTATCCCATCTTTCTCAGTCTTCTCCTGTTTTGAGAGACAGTAAATCATACGGAGCAGCTGGTGGATTCGAACCCCGTGCCTTGGGTTGGCAGCACATCTCCTTACCACTAGAAAACCCCATGGGGCAGCTGTGCTCCACCGTGAGTCTCAACCCACTGGCCAGGCCTCAACAACATTCTCTGCTGGCTAAGCTTTTAGAAGCCCTTTCTCCCTCTCTCCTTCCGACAACCCTGCCCCTTTGTAGGGCCATCGCCTCCCTCCCACGGAGGACACCGCGCCCCGAGGGGCTCAGGCCTTAAGCCTGGCGGTGCAGCAGGCACCCCCCGGGACCGGGTAGGTAGAGGGCAGGGGCTGTATCAAGGGCTAGCACACGGATGGGTCAGCCGCCGCCACTGCCCGGGTCTCCATCGACTGTCACCTAGACACTGCCCACTTGCCCACAGTCCCGCGGGCTTCAGTGAGCATTCTGCGCTTGCGCCATCTCCAGGGCCCCCCCCCCCCAGACTTCCGGCGTCTATATGAAGATCCAGGTCACAGAGTCAACAGAACCAATGAGCGGAGGGGCCAGTGCTGCGTGGGCGGGGCGGAGGCGGGGCATCATGGCCGCGTCCCGCGCTCCGCGGCGGACAGCTTGTGAGCTCATTGCTGACTGGCCGTGCGGCCGCCGCGGGCCCGCCTCCTGTCCTCCTCACCCGCCGAGTGCGCTGCGAGGGCGGCCGAGAGGGAACCATGGGGACAGTCCATGCCCGGGTAAGTGACTCCGGGCCGTGGGGCTTTGGACAGAGGGACCCATGGGGACACTGTTCCGGGGCTGCGCGCGGGGTCAGCGGGGCCCGGTGGCCCGCAGGGGTGGGAAACAAGGGCGGACCGCTGCGGCCGAGCGAAGGCGGGTGCAGGATGCGGCCTCCGGCCAGCAGGTGCCCAGACCCGAGCTGGGAAGGATCGAGGGGCGTGCCGTGCCCAAGGTCACGCAGCGGGTCAGCGGCCCTGAAAGTTGTAGTGGACTTTCCGTCCACAAGTTCTCTCCGGGCCTTTCCCTTCGCCCTTCGCCCTCAGCGGTTTGGGGTGCCTCCCTCCTTGCGGGAGTCACCCCGGACTGCAGGGACGGGGACCCGCGCTTTGCTCTCGCGCCCCCTTTTGACGCAGAGTCAGTCGCACGCACGTCGCTGGCGTGGCGCCGTTACAGGGCGTGCTGCGTGGAGAGGACGGAGGCGCCGGTTCGAATCCACCCCGCGGCACCGCGGAAGAAAGACCTGGCGGCCCCATTCCTTAAAGATCACAACCTTGGAAACCCCATGAGGCCGATCTGCCCTGTCCCTGGGAGTGGAAATCCTTGCAACAGCACCGAACGACAACTGTGGTGCTTGGGCAACTCCTAATTTCTTGTTTAAATCTCTCCTTTCTTTGCCCAAGGTCACGTCTGCATCTTCCAGCGCCCCCCTTACTGCCCCCCGTTCCCCTTGCCCGGCTCAGAGATGTTTTTCCAATGACACCCTTAGGAGTTTAGTCCTAACGTCTCAGCCTGGCCCCAGGAGTTAGCCCTCTTTCCATAGTTTTTGTTCAGATCAACGGCCCCTGCCATCCGCCCAGTCTTGGACTGTGCTGTAGCATGACGTCCCCCAGACCCTCTTCAGCTGTCATAATAATGTCTGATTTCAGAACAAGGTTCAAGCCACTTCCAGCAGAAGCCTTCCCTTCCCCTTAGTTGGCTGGGCTGCCAGCCTTCTTGGCATATTTGCCTCTGGCTCCGTTCCTATTGGGCCATATTCTTTTTTTTAAAATTTTATTTATTTGTGTGTGTGTGTGTGCTATCAAATCTGATCTGACTGGTACAGGAGGAGATTGTCCCACGTGTGTGTGTGTGTGTACACCGTCAAATCTGATCTGACTGATACAGGAGGAGATTGTCCCTCCTTCTCCAGCAGAGCATCTGGTGTGGGCCGTATTTTATTTTTTTTTGCTGTTTGTCTTTTTATCGGATTCTAAGATGCTAAGGTGACTACTTTTGTATTCATTTTGCTTTATTTGTGTTTTTTTTTTTAAATTATTTATTTATTTATTTATTTTTTAATTTGTGTTTTTATCTTACCCGATTCTAAGATCTCAAGGTGACTGCTTTTGGAAGCAGGAGTGGCATCCACTTCGTAAACAACCTGCCTCCAGAAACTCATGAACTTTGATAAATGTCGATGGTTGTAGAGGGGCTTCAGGCCTTTTGTTCATAGGATCTCCATGTGTCGTGCTCCACTTGAAGGCGGTCAACAACAACAACAACAAGGTCACTGCTGCAGTGGGCTCGAGAGAGTCAGAAAGTGTGAGGATGGTACAGGATAGGACAGGGTTCAGATCTCAGAGGGTCGCTGTGGCTTGTACTTGACTCGGTGGCACCTGACAAGAAGATGACTCCAGATGGTCTGACACAGACTTCATCTTACTTGGCTCGCAACTCTTGAGCAAAGTAAGCGTTCCCCCATTGATGTATGAAGGTCCGCTGATGGCCTGCTGTGAACCTGGCACTGTGTTGAGTCTCTGCTTTGTGCTTGGCTGAAGCATCTCTGATCCAGTAAGTGTCACTGCTTTCATTAAAGAATTAGCAAAAAAAAGTGTCATCAATTCCTTAATTGGATCTTTATATCTCCTTGTCACTGGCATTTAAACTTTTCAGTCGGGAATCACAATAAGCAGACATTTTACATTTGCTACCTAGTACTGTCATACTTAATAAAATGACAGAAGAAGAATTGATGCCTTTGAACTGTGGTGTTGGAGTGCCAAATATCCCGTGGACGGCCAAAAGGGTAAACAGATGTGGAGTAGGTACAGCCAGAGTGCTCGTTGGCAAAGATGATCAAGCTTTGTCTCACATACATTGGTCATGTTGCTACGAGAGGTTAGTCCTTGGAGAGGGACCTCTTGTCTGGGAAGTTGGAGGGTTAGTGAAAGCAAGGAAGGTCTTCAACAGGGTGGTTGACACAGTGACTGCAGCACTTGGCTCAAGTGTGTCAGGAAGTGTGACAGGAAGTGTGAGGACGGCATAGGATAGGATAGAGTTCCGACCTGTTGTTCCTAGGATTGCTGTGTTGTTGTTGAGTGCTTTCAAGTCAGAACTGACCCATGCCTGACCCTCCGGCAGGTGTTCCGAGGCAGTAAATCCCACAGGAGGAGATTGCCCGTCCTTCTCCAGCGGAGCAGCTGGTAAACTCGAGCCCTGTGCCTTTGGGATTGCAGAGCAGCCTCTTGCCACTAGGCCACCAGAGCTCCCTATGAGTACTACTCAACTTGAGTCATAGCAACTCCTGTCATTCTTGGGGAGCTCCTGTGCTGTCATCCGTAGTGAGCTGTGCTGTCCACACAAAGGCTGTGTTTGCAGCTTGTCAGGAGAGAGATGGGCATTTTCCCATGGCCGTTTATAGCCTTGCAAACTCAGTGGAAGGTCACTGTGAGTTTGTTTTGTCTTACTCCTTCCAACCATGAAATACCCTTGTGAAATGATACTGGCACAAATTGAAATATCAGTGCCGTTAAAATCAGTCATCGGTGCCATTAATTAGAAACATGGCAGATTGTTTCATGAGCCTGTTTTTACCACACACAAGAAAGGAAAAAAAATTTGTGAAGAAATATTTACCATTAATTTCTTTTATGTATTTTTATTATTTGTTTCGGCTCTGGTGGCCTACTAGTAAGAAGTTGTACTGCCAACCCAAAGGCACATGGTTCAAATCACCAGCTGCTACTTGGGAGGAAGATGGGCCATTTCCTCTCTTTTTTTTCTTTTCTATTTGAAGGTTTACAAATCTTTCTGCATTTTCATACAATCATTCATAGACATTTTGTTGGATAGCCTTCATCGGTATTGATATCAATCCATAGGGCGATCTGGTAACCTAGTGATAAAAAGCTGTGCTTCTAGCCCAAAGGTACATGGTTCAAATCCACCAGCTGCTACTCAGGAAGAAGATGGACAGTCACTTTCCATGCATCTTACAGCCATTGAAAACCTGTTGGAGGGTCAGCTGTGTGTTGGTTCTGCCTAGATGACACCTCACAACAGTAAACAATCCAAATTGGAGATGGTGAAGATGGCACAGCAGAGGGCAGGATTCAGCTGTGCTGTTCATAGGCCTGCTGTGAGTTGCCATCAACTAGACGGTGCCTAACAATACATCAGCAATTACTCTTACTATGTATTGCCTTTTCCTTCACTGACTTTATCGATTTATTTTCACTCCCCTCCCCTTCCTTTGCCATCTCTGTTATCCCTCCAGGTTTGATTCTCTCCATGGTAACTTCCTTAGCTCTTTATAATAGGGATTTTATACCATAATTTCTTTCCTTTGTTTTGGGAGAAGTACAGGCTGGGTTTAGAAGAAGCTGTGAAAAAAAAAATAAGAAGAAGAAACTGGTACTAGGGATGTTACAGATAATGTCAGATGGATTTTGGCTGAGAGCAGGGAGTACCAGAGGAATGTCTTATCTGTGTTTCATTGTCTATGCAAAGGCATTTGACTGTGTGGATTACAACAAACTGGCTGACTCTGAGAAGAATGGGAATTCCAGAACACTTGATAGTGCATATGCGAAACCTGTACTTGTGCCAGGAGGCAGTTGTCAGAACAGAGCAAGGAAACACTGCATGATTCAAATTGGGAAGAGTGTATGCCAGGAATGTGTCCTGTATCCATACCTTTTCAATCTATATGCAGAACAGATTATCTAGGAAGCTGGACCCTATGAGGAGAAATGTGCCATCAATATTGGAGGAAGACTTAACCATCTGCAGTACGCAGATAACACAATCCTGCTTGTTGAAACTGAGGAGGACCTGAAGCGCTTGCTACAGAAGGTCAAGGACTGCAGCCTTCAATATGGATTGAAGCTCAATATCAAGAAAACAAAGATTCTCAGCATTGAGCCAACTGACAGCATCACGATAGACAATGAAGATATTGAGATTGTTAACAGCTTCAGTTTGCTTGGCTCCACAATCAAAATTCTTGGTAACAGCATCCAGGAAATTGAAAGATGAATTGCATTGGGGAAAGTCTACTGTCAGAGACCTCTCCAAAGTACTGAAGAGCAACGATGTCATTATGGAGACTAAGGTGCACCTGATACAGGCCATTGTCTTTGCAATTACTTGCTGTGCATCAGAAAGTTGGACAATGACTAGGGATGATAGAAGGAGAATTGATGCCTTTGAGATGGGGTGCTGGAGAAGAGTGTTGAATATACCATGGGCCGCTAGAAGAACAAACAGTTTAGTCCTAAAGAGGGTGAGACCAGGCTGCTCAGTGCAGGCAAGGATTCTGAAGCTTCGTCTGACATACTTTGG